TTCTTGCTCCTTGAGCTGTAGCTGGCTCACGTGCGATGGTTGCTCCCTTCCCATACCTAGCTGTCTCTTTCACCGACTCTATGCTACTCCTACGACGTCAACAGTGTATAGCGTTTTTCAATGCCCGACTTGGGAACTCGAGGTCGACGCAGAAGTAACCCTACAGCAGGAAGACAAAATAACAACTTCGACAGTAGTGCTACATCCAGGAAGCAAGAGTAGCTGGAACAACTTCATTTTTCTTTGATTGGCACCATAACACCACAACTTCCAATACTGTCATCCACCTTCATCACGAACGGAAACAAAACATCTATCATCATTTCAGCTCAGAGCGGTCTATTATAAAGCCACTCCGTAGGACAACTACAAAGATCAACGCGGCATGCAGCAGAACAATTCGATTGCGTTTACTCGCGCAATATATGTACGTGCACGACGGCTCTACATAGCGCGACCTGTATTTGCAGTAGTGGAAACGTACAAGATCGTAGGGACTCCCAACCATTTCCACAAGCTTCGAAAAACTTCATTATTTCCGAATCCAACAACAACATCTACGCCAGAACAAACGTTGGATCTGCAATACAACTCCACATTGTCGCCGAAAACCTTCGCATAACGGCACTGAAGCACATCAGCCGTTGCCATGTAGAAACAACCACCTTATCTGGATGCTATAGCTGCACTACCGGCGCCTCAATAATAATGTCCCGCACAAGCGACAACCACGAAATACTGGCGCAAGTCAAATGCGGTCAACATTCTCATGTGCTCAGATGTACTGAATCCGGCTTCCTCAACACTGTTTTCTTCATGTTCGACACTCCGACGGTAGCCGCCGATTGCATCGCTGTTTGCCCGAGAGGGACCATGAATTTCACGATCGAAGGNTCTCTCGTCTTCATCAATGAAAGGACGATTTCTTCAGATACCAGCACAACACAAGTTGAAGGACAAATGCAAAACGACCTGTCGTTCGTAAATGACATTTTTCATAATTGTAAGAATAAGCTCATAGCATCTGTGTATGGAATAGCATCGTTCTTCGATTTTGGGAGCTATTTTTTCTTCCTCATCATTGCACTAGTACTATTGAATTTCCTTTTCAGAATCGGTTCCGGAACGTATCACGATAAAGTCCATTAAACTTTGCTTGCTGCGGGAGTCTTTCTGTGATTAACAGAAATAGATTCCTCTCTGTTGACTCAACTATAAATGACTGTGCTATATTTTGTCTCACTGGCCGAAATTGCCTAGAATATTGGAAATATGTTTTGATTATGACTTCAATCCTTATCATTTCTGAATGATATAAAAGCTTGGAACAAACGAGCTTGTCGCTCTGGTAAAATAAACCTCCAAAGAAGTCTTCCTCGTCCGACTCAAAACACATACTGGGGAAAGGGGATGTATTATAACATGTGAAGGCGAAAATTGTACCGTAACCATTAGCGAGAGTTCCCAGCAAAGAGTAGCAAAGAATCGAAACAAGCGATAGGATTTTGCCCGTCCATCTATATAACGACAGCGTCTTCGAATAATCTGAATACGGGTCTTCTTCCTCGATGGTTTCTGACCCTCTTACTCCTCCCTCGAAACTCGTCCATCCGGAATAACAGAAAAATAGGGCACTCGTTTTGAGTTCTTCCGACCCAACCACTGGGCTTCCGTTCATCAACCATGCTCCTGTTTTCACCTTCACCAAGCGACAACTCTTATGTTTTTAAGGGCACGTTTCACCTGGCAGACCATCCAAGAAAAGAAAGGAGGCTGAAAAGAGAAGGACGACGGTTTATAAGATATTGGAAACAAAGAGTTATCGCGCGTTGTGGACAGAAATATGAAGCTAAATCTAAAAATCGAGGGAGATGACTGAATCCCAGAGCTCTCAGAATCCATACGCCCGACTGAATTCATTGTTTCAGGTGCCACCCCCTGTAATCGAGACATTGTGCTCATGTTGAGCGGTCTTTCCACTGTTGGATCACAGGACAACTTTCAAAAGGTGGGCAATAGGGAGAGCGACACTTTCATTATGGATATTATAAATAATTTAAATACAGCAACTCGATTTCGTTGCCAATGTGCTCACTCCGACATGGCAGGTTGGGCTCGACTGGATTAGAGTGGTGATCAATCTAGTGGTGAGTGCATGAGTCTACCTCGTCAATGTTACTGTTTCTTTGTGTTGAGACAGCTCCCGAAAAGGGGATGAATACTTGTTCATCCTTGTCCCCTTGTTAGGCACTTCGATTTACTGTGCCCTATAAATTTTAAATTTTTTTAAATTCTAAGTTTGGGGTACTGATTTCGAAATTTTGAATTTATCACTATGGAGTTGAATCGAAGGCTTCTTGAGTGACGGGGCAGGTCAAGGGTATCCAATAGGAACAGCTTGAACCAAAGAAAAAGATGAATCGAGATTGTCAACACTTCTAGGCAAGCACATTCCCACGTCTTTTTTAGATTTGGGCTTCCTTTCCCAAGTCGTACGGTGATCCGAGCAACGGTTATGAGAAGTGGCCGCGTTCTTACATGTTATTATGAAGGACGATATGAACTTTGGCCGTAGCACACTTAGCCTTGGATAAGTTTATTAGAAATAGAAACTATTAGTGTATTCTTAATGATAGAGTGATATAGAAGAGTTGAAGTTGTAGTTTACATGGTGAATGGGTTTGAGAAGACATTCCTTGGTCACCTCTGGAACTGGCATACTGGCATGAAAAAGAATCCTGCCACAGAACGTTACGGCGTATGACAAATTTCAAAAAAAAAAAGATAGAAAATTAAATAGAAAAGTATGGTAATAGTATATTCGGAGAAGCCTTTCGGAAGCTTTATTGTTATTCTGCAGTAGCTTCGAGGACAAGGACTAAAAATGAAGAAAAGAATTCCCTGAATTTTTGAATCTGCTCTATTGGATAACTTTTCTTTACTCTTAACTCCAGAATACCTTGTATTATTGAGTCATTTGGGTAATGAGCCTACTTGCATTGCCAAAAGAACTTTGTAAATTTGTCATGAAGTGATACCAATAAGAACGCCCATCTCATTTACCAAAATCAGAAGTCTTTCAGAACAATTCTTATACATATATACTGTTGACTTTCAGGTAGATGCAGATTATGCACTCATCTGGAGCGCCGACGAGCTTGCTGACAATCAGGTTTTGAGTGGAACTGTTCTTGGTCTAACTGAAGATGTACCCGATGTCACCCAAAACAACAACACCAATCTTCAGTGGTAAGGGAGGGTCCGTAGTTGACCTTCAGGCCAGTAGTCTTTGGTGCTAAACATAGTGACTAACTACAAAACCTCACTATAGCCCCAGACTAATAATCGCCCAGGCCAACCAAGACTTCGATCTCCCCGTATTCGGTCAGTCGGTGCCAGACATATCTGGCAGGATAAGTGAAGGCATTCAAACCACGTGATTCTGAGTAGAACACTATTAGCGGGAACCACCAACCTAAATAGCATGATTGGTAAACGCCCGATTACCTTATCATTTGTGGCCAACTTCTAGCCCATACAGAGTTGATCGATTTATCAAGGAGAGCTGAGAATCAGAGCTGTTAACTTCGCTGATCCCTTTCAAGTAATCTTGGCTAATCAGACTCAGACATGGCCGAGATCCTTTAATGAAAAACGAATCACTTAAATTTCACTCAAGAGGATAGGGAGGGGTGTTTACTTCTTTGGCTATTTTCACTTTAATTGGAATTTCTGAGAAAAAGATCCAAAAAACTGTATTGGGAAATTAAATTCATGTGTGAATGAATTGTAAACTGCTTATTAACCCGAATGGTGGAAAAATAGGGAGTATTCTGTGTCATGCTAAAATGTCCTGAAATAACTTCGAAAACTAATTAATTTCATTTTTGAAAAGATTTCCCATTTTGTCAGTCTAATAGTCCGCTCCGAGATCTAAGGGAACAACGCTCTATAAGCTCTTTAATTACATTTTTCTTTTTAGTATTTTCAAATACGCTCAAGGTGCTGTAAGTTTCGACGCTAAAGAGGAGAAGGAAAGGGCAGGAGTGCAGAAAGCAGTCATCGCATTCGTACCACAAAACCCCAAGTAAGCATCGGAAACCCCGAAACTTTTGTCAAACTACATATTCCGTGACGTCTGAACGGGCAGCCACAGTACGATGGCCCACTACTGTATCTTTTGTTGAGAGAGCATAAGTATTTACTCCTGTTCAACACACTAGTAAACTGAGGCTCTTTGTTGATCTGCATTGATTTTCTGGAAAAGTACAGCAGTCCCCTTCTGTATACTGTAATATCTTGTAAATTTTCAATGTTTTAGTGATGATCAAGATTTCTATGAAGCAATGGAATTTGCCCACACCACACGCACAACGGACGACACAAAGGTGGGCTGAAAATAGGGCCAAGCATGAAACAGCAGGAAATGACCCCGTCATCATAATACTAATGAGCTTTCACCTGAACAAATATCTCCTTCTCACCTTCTTTTTGTAGCACTCAGTCCCATCTTCAACTTCCAATTCACTCTAACATGGGGACTTTTTGTAATTCATCTACTTTCCACCCAAAACGTCTTTCTACGTACCCGTGAACCCTGCACTTTATGGGTTTCAGTGGGATCCACTACGGAGCTGGTTTTGGGGCAAAGAACGGGCTAGTGACTGACATACGCATGTCGAGAACTGAGCCACCGACTGAATTCTTTGATACACGTGAGACCAACTTTCCATACTCCCAAACCTTCCTAATGTACTGCGGTTCAAAGTTCGGGTGAAACGGCAGACGGCGAGGTGAAACGGCAAATATTACCACTCACCCATATTCTGAGCATCGGACCAGATTGACATTAGCTCACCCAAGTCACCCATGTTTTCCATCCCTCCGGAGTCGGTAGACTGGTACCAGACTTTTCTGAAAGAATAGAAGCACAGACTTGCACATTGGCCGCTTACCACAAGCCATTGTGTAGAAGGTATACGCATTCAATCCGGCATAAGGATTCTGTATGGAAGTCGAAGCAAGTGTGGTGAAGGCAAAAACTTACCCCTCATTATTGTAATTGTTACTATTATTATTCTTCTTATTATTACTATTATTACTGGGTTTCGTAAGGAAACTAATTTTAATAGCATTGATCAGTTCAGATCATCATTGTTGCGATGGGGAAAAACCTCGATGTATCACGACTGTCACTTTTGAGCTACGGTAGTGGATTCACCTTTCAAGCAGACTACGATGGGCTGTCCAGCTTGGCTCCAATGATAAATCAAGCCCTTTGTGAGCCTCAACCGAGTTCTTGTGGTGCCTAGATTATGGTTCTCTCTGTGAAGAATAAATATTATTGTAGTTTACATTGTGAAAAGATTTTAGAAGGCATTTCTTTGACACATCTGTGGAATGCGGGCATACGGGCACGGAAAAGAGTTCTGCAACAGGACGAGAAGGGTATGGTTTCCAAGAAAAAAGATGAAGAATAAAAAGGAAATACAAGGATTTTGTTGGACTTTGGGAAGGAGACGGAACACGAATTGGCACCGCTACCATACGGGGCCAACCACTCGATGTCAAATACTGAATCGATTCTCAGCTTGGTCAACCAAGCTCTCTTACTCCCGAGACCAACTGGTACCAGATCCCATAAGAGCGTATAGCACTGTCATATATGTCGACTACTTCCAAATCACTAGGCAAAGTCCCATTCGAATTTCGGTACTGTTGTGAGTAGAAGTCGGATGTGTGGACGTGTCCGGGACCTTTTTGTGGGACTAGGCGAGGAACGGCTTGTTCCTAGTGGGAACTTGTCTGAGCGACAACAAGCAGACTACATAGTTACTTCTACAGCCCCACCCCTCAAAAATACTACTCCAGTAGCTTATATGGGCTACACCCTTACGACTGTGTGTTGGCGTAACGGACTGGCTGTCACTTCATACGAATTCGCCCAACAGCTAAATGATTTGAGCGTCTAAAGGCCGAACTGATCAGTGAGAAGCTTTCAATAGAAGCCATGAAAGCACCCTTAATTCGACCAGCTTGCGTAGTGTATTCCTGCTTGGTATTGCGAGATCTCGGGTAGCTAGTCGGTGATCCCGTTTCCCATCACCCGATCCGGATCGTCACTCCGCCTACCATGCTCTGCACTTTGCCCAGCTGAAAACCACAAAAGCATCTTCAGCTTCTATGGCGCTTATGTTAAGGTGAGTCATTCGATCTGAAGGATTCTTACAATTTGTATTACTATTATAAAACTTTTTTGAGAACTCAAAATTCCAAAAAATTGATTATTCTTGGGATTCTAAGGCTCTCATTCGTAGTAGTATCGAAAGAATGGTTACATTGTACTTGGCCCCAATCCTTATCTCCAAATGTTGCTGGAATGATCTAGAATCCCGGATGTAGTCAGTTGCTTCTTGATATCCGTCTAAGAAATCTATGATAGGCCCAGCAAGAGTAAGGTAAGGTACCGTACTCGGACCGAACCCTCAAAGTGAACCCGAAGAGTTCTTTCCTTTTTGCAGTACATCCTCAAAAGGGTTGGAGCAGTTGTAAACACAGAATCGTTCTGGTACTGGCTTACCCCGGCTCTGTTATTCATGTACTCATCTAGTGACAACAAGAATAGATAATCTGCTCTCTTGGAGTATTTATTTATATATCCATTTATTTCTTTACTTACTCAATCATCTACTTGATGTACTTGTACGTGTGCAATTGAAAATTTTAGCAACCTTGAATAATCCTTTCTGGGGTATAAGAAGAGGCGCTCAGATTTACGGTGCCATATAGACATCCTTCGAGGACAACATGCCATTCGGAAGAGAATACTATCAAGTGAAAAGTAGCACCTTATCACTTGTAACTTCATCTCTTTCTAATTTCCCAGCTTGATCAGTGACAGCGTTCTCTTCGGTCCTGATATGATTCATCCACGTGTGTGCATCCCATAAGTAAAACAGAACCGCACTCAGATTTATTTTCGATTCTGGGCTAATCCCTCTTCTATTGCAGCCCGTTCGTTCCACCTGAAAGTTCAGAGCAATGCATCATCTACTACTGATCATAGTTAAGATACAAATGATATGGGAATCTCTCCAAAAAAAGTCATTTGGGTGCAAAAGATTGGCCAGTGCCGGGTGGATCATCGAAAACGTCCAGCTTTCACCAAAACTAGCGTTTTAGAAAATGAGGGCGGACACTGACAAGGCTTTAGCAGATCGTATTCTGGCAGTGTAGCTCTGTGAGCTTGATTGTAGATCTGCATGCCGCTGATAGCTATCTTTTCCACGTTTTAGCCTCTTCCTCTCAGATACGATTCGCAAAAAACGGCTAAAGCTTGCCCCCGGTCGACCGTACGAAAGAGCGGATTTTCGCTTTCGATGAACAAAAACCAGGAATCGAACGCACGATCTGTTCCCTTGTGATGGGAGAAATTGTTCTTTTTCATTGCTTTTGTTCCTTTTGGGGAAATAGTTCTCTTCCATTCCGGCTACTGGCATGGTTGAGAGCATTAAAATTACGCATTGTTAATATTTCTACGATTGACAGTCATCACTGATTGTACTGTATTTTTCTTGACGCTCAGAATTTCCTTTTCCTTCTGGATAATCCTGTATCATCACTTATGCCCTACAGGAGGGTCGAATGATTACTCAAAAGCAGAGAAGAAATACGTCGTAGGGGGTAATAAATAGAGTTCTGGTGTTGTCCATACCCCATCATATATGCGCCACAGTAATCACCACGAGAGATGGCTCGTATGACTTGACCGACGATTTCAATGTCAACTTCTCTGGGAAATCAAAAGGCCTTAATGGTTCGGGTTAGGAGCAGCCCAGCATGTAGTCCTGTCGGGACATGCACATGGTGGTAGTGATAGCGTCCGTTGGACCTGCGCCACGCTGCTCGAATTTGTCCAAATGTTTAAAATCTTCTTATTTTCCGAGATCTTCATCATCTTCTGTAGAGGTTGCGATTGCATCGGCTTCAAAAAGTTTGTATCGAACCATTGTGGAAGAACATTCCCTTAACATCTACATCATGACCACAGGTGAACACAACAAACCAACATGCCCCATTAGGCGACATTCTATGTTCCTCACTTAAGCTTCTGAATGGAGTTTCTTCGTATTTTGATGGTCCGGATGATTAAATGCGTTCTAGAAACGGAGTAGAAGAAGTCGATTCGGCAAAAATCTACTGCATTCGGTAGTAATGCTAGAGCGGAGGAGGCGCTTGGTGGGGTAGTGTGCAATCAAAAGCTTTGAACCATTTTCAGGCCTTGAAAACGACGAGTCTGTCGAAACGTCGGCCAGAATAAAGATTCCCACCTAACAACCTCGTGGCAGAAGCAACAAAATAAACATTTTCAAGTACAACAGAAATGCCGAGGTTTCAAGATGAGAGAACTTGGAATTTAATGCATTCGGAAGTTTTTCTCATC